GAAGTTTCCGTGGGGGCGTGGCCTGCTTCCTATAGGATCGGATGCTGTGGAAAGTTTGCCCGCTTGCTTTTCCAGGGTCTGGGTTCTGCGTCTGGCTCATTGAGGTCCTGTGCTTCAGATTTGGGCTAACAGCTTGCCATGCGGCCTGCCATATGGCTGTCACCTTCCTACGGATCTGGGGCGCAACCGCCCCCACAGCTGCGTGAGGCAGGGGCGTCTACAGTCCAGCTTCTGACCCCTGGATGGACTCGGGCTTCTCCACCTCTACAGCTGAGGGCGCCACTCGCCTAATGTAGATTTTTCTCAGTGTAGACATAGATGAGCTCCCCTGGAGAACCCCGCCGGATACACCCTCTTAGTGGCTATGGCCGGACAGGGGCAGCCCAGTTCACTCACTGGCTGGCCATCCAGACAGACACTCCCTGAGGGTGGGGACAGGGGAAGGTGAGGCACAGGGAGGCCAGGCCCACCACTGTCCACTGCTCCTGGAGACATGAAGTTGGGTGGGTGGGTGGGTGGGCATCAGCACAGAATATGCTCATGGGTGAACCGAGGGGGTGGAGGGTCAAGTTGACCTGGAAACCCTCAGAAGAAAGGCCTGGAGATCTATTTCCAAATACAACCCCCACCCCCTCGAGGGTGCTGAGGCACCGGTCCCCTCTGGCTCCGTGGGGTTAGCCAGGAGCCGGACCAGTGTTGTGCTGAAGACTTCCCCCAAGAACTAAGGCCCACTGGCCCTCTGTCCTTGCAGTCACCAGCCCACAGAAGCTGTGGGGCTGCTCTGAGCAAACACCCAGCAGGGACCAGGCCTCTGTCCAGGCAGCGACACTCTCAGCACGGGGACCTCGGGGTGGGGGCCTGGGACCAGGCCTCAGCGTATTCACACATATACACACACTCATACACACACACACACACCACATACATACACACACTGCCCATGGGAGAAGTCAGCATCTCTGCGGTCCCTGTCCATCTGCACTGGTCACTCAGGGGGCTGGGAACACCCGCTCCTCCCCCACAAGCCACTCACCCTTCGTCCAGGCTTTCCTGAGGGGCCAGGTGGGCCCTGCACGCCTCGGGGGCCCTGCCGGGAATCAGAGGACGAGGGTCAGCTCTGTCGGCTTTCTTCCAGGAAAGAGCAAAAAGCCTGCCCCGTGTTTGCCTGCACAGCCCCAGCCCCATCCGGCTCCCTGAGTAGACGGCGCTGGGCCCAGTCCACGTTCCAGGTGTGGGGCTCAGCTCTGCCCCCCCGCCCAGTGACCCGAAAGCAACAGTGACCCCTGGGGCCCCTCAGGGAGTGCCCAGTGTGCCAGGCCCAGCCAGCAGTCTCAGACAGGGCCCGGGCCCCGGCGGGCGGCCCCATGTCATACCTGCGGCCCCATGTCTCCAGCCTCGCCCTTCAGGCCTCCGCTCCCAGGGGGGCCCTGCAGAAAGACATCTGGGTTAGTGCAAGCCACCATGGATGGGACAGCCGTGAGTCTGCCCTACAGGCCAGGACTCCATCAGCGGGTGGCCTCCCCAGCCGCCTCCAGCAGAACCCGAGGTGGGAGGTGAGCTTCCCAGCAAGGCGTCCTTAGCAGCAGTCAGGATCTCCCTTGGTGTTTTCAGTGTAAGCGCCTCTGGTATTTTAGGGTGACATGTCCCCAGCACACCAGGTCCCCACCCACCCAGCAGCTCAGCGACGTGAACCAGTCTTCCCAAGGTGTCAGCGGTCACCCAGTGTGCATCCTGCTGCCCCAGCCCCACTCGCTGGGGCCCTGGCCCCACCTCCCCTGCTGAGGCCCTCAAGCAGGCGGTGACCAGCTGGGGTCCTAGGAACCCTGGTGGTGGGACAGGTCAGCATTAGGCCACTGACCGGAAGGCTGGCACCAGGAGAGCTGCTTTGGGTCTGAGAAGCCCAGGCCCCAGGATCCCCCACCCCCACCCATGGGAACTGCCCCACCCCCTGGCAGCAGAACGGAAGAGGCCTGGTGTCCCAATGCTTTCACTGAGGCACAGAGGGGTTCCCTGCGTGTCCCCCTCCCCAGCCCTTCAGGCGCCCCTCCGGCTGAGGCGTCAAGGAAGCTGCTACTGACCGCAGGGCCTTCACAATCGCCCTCTGCAGGGCCCACCTGCACCTGCCTGCCCTCCTCTTCACCCTCTCCTGGCAAACTGCACACAGGGCAGACGGCCCCCGCCCTCCCCTGCCACCAGGAGGGAGGGAGACATGGCCAGTTCCCTCTGTCCAGCCGTGCAGAACCCCCAGGGGAAGAGGACCCCATGTCACTCGGCACAGCCCCACTCTGCAGGTGCAGTGACCGGGACGCCGACTACTCACCATGGGGCCTGGCCTGCCTGTGAGGCCCATTGGTCCAGCTGGTCCCCTCAGTGCCAACTGCAAGAGAAAACGGGCCACCCAGAAGTGACCCAAGAGCAGGGCCAGGGGGCAGGGGCAGGGGCCTCGGACCAGGGAGCAGCTGATCCTTCCGAAAATCACCAGAGCCGCTGCCCCGGGACCCTTGCGCCCAAGTCCAGTGAGATAGCCAACTGGGCAACCACGTCATTTCTCTGGGGGTGGGGTGGGTTCTCTGTCCACTCGGGTCCCTAGCACCCCCAATGTATCTTCCCTCTGTGCCCTGCCCCCACTGCTCCAGTCTGCCACAGCCGGGCACCTGGCTGAAAGGGCTGTGCCCTCCCCTACTGGACAAGCGAGTTGGCGGGGTGGGGCGAAAGGCAGTCTGCACACCACACAGCTCACACAGAGTGGACATCAGCCCCCTGCCCAGAGCCACCGGGTGAGGGACATGCCTTTGCTGGTGTCCAGAACCAGGGCTCCGAGTTCTCACTGCCAGGAGTCGAAGCCACTGGCCCCCTCAGTGACCCATGTGAATGCTTCCCAGCCCCCACAGCTCAGCCACGCTGCCGCCACCACCCGGGCAATCAGAGACCACTGCCTGATCAGACAGCCCCGGAGCGCCGTGGCAGCCCGGTTAGAGGTGGCCAGGCAGCCTGGCCACACACCGGCTCCTGGGGCACCCAGCCGGTGTCTTCCAGGCTGTGCCATGTGGTGAAGAGCAACTGTGGGCGGCTGCCCCGCCCCGCGCCCACACGGACTCCACTCAGCATGCCGGCCAGGGCTGCGCCCTGATGGCTCTCTGGGTGTTCTCTAGGATCCAGCCCACAGGCAGCCCGGCTGCTCATCCTGACACTCGGCAGCACGGAGCTGTACTCCTTAAAACAGCGTAGCCCACTGGTTGGGGGGCCAGCTCCCTCTGTGGACCCCACTTCTGGACAGAAAGCCTGCATGGGGCTCTTTCCTGGGGTGCCTGCTTCAGCCAGTCCCCACCTGGGAGCCCCTCTCTGGGCCTGGGGCCCTAGACCTCTATCTCCAGACCCAGGAGGGCGTGGAATGCAGCCCCCGCCCCTTGAGAGATTCTGGCCATCACTTCCTCCTCTGGCCACCCTGCTGTCGCCTGGAGAGACGCTGAGGAGCCTCCAAACACCTTGTGCTCGCTCACGAGGGGGCCTGAGCAGACCAGCTGCCGGGTGCCCGCTTCTTGAGGCTGAGAGCTGCCTCTCAGCCCTGTACCTACCCTGCAGGGTTCCACCTGCTCACCCAGGCCTTGCCCTCAGCTCTGCAGCCACCTCCACCTCCCAACGCTCACCTGGGCTTGTGCCCCCTAGCTCAGACCCACTCCCCCCAGCCAGCTCCCACAGTACAGCCTGTGCCCCACTCAGACCCCCCAGTACAGCTCAGCGCCCCACTCACCCGGGCCTGCTGCAGAATGGCTTGGGCTTGGGACTCCTGGGCTGAGACCATGGGGCCTTTGGAGCCGGCATCGCCACCCCCTCCAAACCGGAACTGTGGGGTGCAGTGGGCGAGGGGTCAGCAGGGCTGGTGTGACATCTAGAAGCCCCCACCAAACACATGGAGGGAAGACACCCCCACCCTACGTGTCCCCCCGTGCTGCTCGAGCTGCCCCGTCAGGCCCGGAGCTTCTCTGGGACACACCTGGCTGGGACAGGGGGTGCTC